GGAAGGCGCAAAAGCAGGCAGGGGTGAGCTGAGCCCCCGGGGGGGGGGAGGGAAGAGGGGGGAGGCGCTGCCCTGCTTTGGACTCAGCCCACCCACGCACCCCGAGGAGGCGCATTTGGACTCACGACGTGCCCGGCTCGAGACCGGCCGAGTCAGATCTGGGGGTTGGGGGGGTGTCCTCGGGGGAGAAAGAGCAGTGAAGTTGGCTTGTAGCCTCCAAGCTTCTACCCAGCACCCGTTAGTTGCAACATGCCTTTGGTCCGATTCACACGAACAGAAGACACGGGTTTAGGCCCGTTTCAATTACACCTCCCCTCTGGGCTCTGAAGTGGAGGGCCCATTTCCCGCTAAACTGACTCTCCAAAGCAAGCGTGATGCTACGTTTGGTGGGATGTAATGCCCTTCGCCTGCCTCGAACCCCAGCTTGGTTCGGGGCGTCTCCAATCCGTGGTAAGGCGGACCAAGAGGTAAAACAATCACTGCGAAGTGAGTGGGAGTCAGGCTTATCCAGGGCACGAGGTTGATAGCCCGGTAGATCCTTTTAAGCAAGACACCTGAACTTTCTCCAGCTTTAGTAGGTAGAGAGAATTCTGCCTTTCCCAACTCACTGCCCCTAAATGGGTGGCTGGCAAGGAGACACTCAACCACCCGGTTAGGAAGGATGGGAGTTGTAGTCCAACACATCTGGTAGGGCGGCATATTTGAGAAGGCTTGCAAACTTACAAATGTGTGGAGGATGAGCACTCAAGATTGCTCCAAGAGTGCCACCCTTATTCTAGCATACCTGGCTATACATCTTGGTGGCTGGGTTGACTGGATTGCAGTTCCTCAAGTTACATGGAAGGTACTGTATCCAGTCTGCCCCTCAGAGGTGGGGAAAGAAAGGTGCCTAAACTTTGTTGGACTATAACTCCCATCAGCCCCACCCACTGTGGGAAGCAATCAGTCGATGTTACACTACAAGAACAGTAAGAGGAATAATCCTGGCTGTACTGATTCTACATAATCAATAATAATAATAATCTTAGAACTGCCAAGCTGGAAGGGACCCTATGGATCATCCAGTCCAGCCCCTGTCAAGGAAGCACAGCAGGGGATTTGAACTTCCAACCTCTGGGCCTAAACCACTGAGCTATCCAGCAGTCCTTAATTACCCCAAAGTCCTTTCATTTTCCATTTGGATGAACCTGTCATGCGCCCCCCCCCGCCCCAAAGACTCAGTCCCTGGGGGCATCCTGGTTCAGATTTGCACCTCTGCGCACAGTGAACCCTGCACACAGTGAACCCTTCCATTCTCTTCAAGGGAAATCTACACAAAACATGAACCTACACAAATACAAACCATTCCATTTTAAGAGCCCTCCTATCAGGCAGCCAGTCACCAAGGGAAAGTCTGTCTGAAGAGAAAAGTCTTCCCCTGCTTTTGGAAGGAGAAGGGGGGGTCCTCGGGGGGAAAGAGCAGTGAAGTTGGCTTGTATCCTCCAAGCTTCTACCCAGCTTGGCCTCCTGATGGAGGGAGTCTGGGTGCAGTGGCAGAAAAAGCCTTTTCCCTTGTCCCCAACAAACCCACCTGTGAAGGTGGTGGGACCTAGAGAAAGGCCTCCCCTGATGAATGTAAAATCCAGGCAGGCTCATAAAGGGAGGTACGGCAACCCTAACAGGGTTTCTGAAGCATGTAAGATGCTTGAGAAGTGGTTTGCCCTTACAATGTCCAAGTGAATTTCCTTGGCCAAGCAAGTATTTGAACCCAGGTCTCCTAAGTCCTGATCTGATACTCTATCCACTACACCACATTGGCACCAAACTGGCTTCTTCTTAGTAGGTATGATCAAGAACATGATTAAGATGCCAAACTAGGCACAACAACACACACCAGGGTTTGGTAATGTGTGGCCTTCCAGATGTTCCTGGCTAGCAGCTTCCATCAGCCTTGGCCAACATGTCCAAATGTGTGGAACCACAGAAATTGCCACCCCACCCATTCTTCTGTGCCCAGACACAGAGTGTCAGGTCCAGGCGATACGTAGACCGAAGCTAGTCTGGCTTTGAGGGGTGTCAAAAAGACAGGTCACGTCTTAGGACTGTTGGACCAGAAAGATGCTCCCCACTCTCCTTATAATGCTGACATTCTCCCTTTGCCCAGTGCACTCAGAGAAGACAGCAATAACCTGTACATACACCTTACTGAACTTCCCAAGCTGGGGAAGGCCTGAGGGGGACTTTCTCAAGGGGTCTTCTGACCTTGGCACTGGCCCTGACTGAGGGGCAGTGCTGACAAGTGCCAAATTTTGCAGACAACGAAGGGCCCAGAAAAGCCCCAGAGAGCTCCAGCGTGTCAGGACACAGGGCTAGGAGAGCTGGGAACGCAAGCTATGCAGCCCACCCTCCTTCTGCTCATTGCTCTGTCCCCTTAGGATGGGCCATCAAAGGGAGACAGGAGCAACCAGAGGAGGACCTGCCAGCTGCCTCAGGCACCATTTGCTAATTATCATGCATTCAGGGATCATTGGGATCCCCCTCCTCCCTCCCTCCCTCCCTCCCTCTCCCTCCTCAGTCAGAAACTCCACATCTTTGTGTATCAATTTGCACTGCTCAGCTCCTTCCAGCAGCTAGGATTTCTGTAATGCCCGATTGCTCGTACATACCATCATCATGTGATTCTGCACTGGTGGCTTGGAGCATTTGCAAGCTCCGATCTTCCTGAGTTTTCCCCCTTTGTCTCCAGCCTGTGGCTTTCCCAAGCAGTGACTCTCACAACACCTCCTTAGGTGCAACAGCAAGGCACACGTGGCTGCTTTAAGTCCGCCAGAGGCACTAGCATCCTACATTACATCATAACTGCCTCTGCCAGAGGGTGGAATGCATCACAATGGGACACCAGGCAGGGGAGGGGTCCAGGTAAGGAAGATATGGAAGAGAGCAGAAAAGCTGCCTCGGGTGTGTGGGCAAGGGGGAATGTTAGAAATCATCAGAAATCAGACAGTCCCTGCACATAGGATGACATGCTGAAAATCTGACACGAAAGGGGAAAAGGTTTGAAATGAAGGGGAAAACAGAAAGGTTGAAAAGGTACTAGATCCTTGCTTACGAAGTTCAGCGGGTCACTTAGCTGGCATTAAACAAAATAGAAGGGCTTCCTTTCTCTCTGGTGTGGCCACAACAATAGCGGCTGGTTATTAGTATGTGTGTGTTGAGGGAGGGGGGTGGGTGTTCTCAGCAGGAACAAGGTCCAGGCATGAACAAAAGCTCCTGACTGCATGTTATAAGAGTAACACAGATATGCAAAAGACACATACATGTCCAGGATTGTGTTACAGATAACCCAACCCTTAGAGCTACAATTCTGGCAGTGTTCCAGAGACGTAATTCAGGCAGGCTTTTGTGTCTGGAAAATTAGACTTGCAAAGAGAGAATGTTCTTGGGTCCTGATGTCTAATCGGACAAATGAAAGAAAGAAAAAGAAAGCTCATTTGCAAATTATGAGAAGTGGAAAAGGCTCCTGCTGTGACAATCACATACCATCTGCGCTTGAAGGATTTCCCCTTCTAAGGATGGACCATCTGTAATGTACAATTTGGCCTCTGAGCAGCACAAACTAACACAGAACTTTACCAGATGATAATTATCTAGCCAACAATTCACCTAGCAGCACAAGCTCCACCTGATGTTTAAAAGCTACAAAATCAGGCCAGTATCCAAAGCCTAGATTCAGGACCCTGGTGGAAATAAAAAAAAAACCTTACAGCAGAACTTTGAAAATTTCCTATTGTAGTCGTAGAGTTTCCAAAAACATGTGGCCACTGGCATGCTGGATTTGGGATTGCTGGGAGCGGTAGTCCAGCAAAAGAAACTTTCCCAAGCTCTGCCTGAAGGGGTCAAAGGTTCTGCAGTTCAATAACCCTGCCAGAAAGCTGGGCCATTCACATATTACCCTTCCTTCAATCAGAGACAGGGAGAAGGCCCCAGATGGACCACTGGTAATGAAAGCCATCTATTTCTGCCCTGGTTTCTAAAATGCTTTGGCTGGATTACTACGCCCAAGGGCAGGATTGGAGCTTTCCATCTCTTGCCTCACCCCATTCCTCCTCAACCTGGCCAAATGTTTGGGGTACTTGTCTCTTTGTTTCTCTGCTGCCCAACCCGACCAAAATGTCCTGGCAGGTGGTTCTCAGATGGAGTCCCTGTTACGAAGCCCAGACATGGTCTGACACAGCTTCCTTCCCAGCCAGAGGCCCCACTAAGCTTGTTGCTGTTTTGTGCGCGCACACATACAGAGAGAGGCAGCCATCAAGGCCGGGCCAGCGGGAAGGCTGGTCTCCTTCCAGACCGGGGGCTGAGGGATGTTACTCCAGATACAGCTGTAAATATTTGCTGGGAACTTAAAAATCTGGGTCAACAATTTGGGAGATGAGCCAGTGACTCATATCATGAGGCAACAGGGTGACTCAGTGGAGAGCCCCAAGGAGTTTGGCAGGAAAGAAGGGAGGGAGGAACAGCCTCAGAAAGACCCACAGAGAGGATGGCTTGGTTGCCCCTTGTCCGGCCCTATTCAACACAAAGTTGGATCCTGGCTGCTCAAAGCATGTAATTTATGGGATCTTGTATCTCTGGCTGAAATGTATTAATCATTAGCTACACTTAGATCCAGTTTTGATTTCTGTGAGTTCACAGCGTTCCTCATCCTCACTTTAATTCCACGAGCAACCATTAGGGGTTAGGTATCTGGCTGGGAGTTTGAATCCCCACTGTGTGTCCCAGGAAAAGAGCCAGTCCATGTAGCCTTGGGCAAGCTGCACAGTCCTAGGACACACCTTTCCTGGGAGAAAGGAACGGTAACCACTTCTAAGTACTCTATGCCTAGAAAGCCATGGAAAGAGTCACCATAAGTTAGAATTGACTTGATAACACATAATTATCTGGGGACTGTACAGCTTGCCCAAGGCCAGACAGGCTGGCTCTTCTGCCAGGAGGCACATCAGGGAATCAAGCTCCCCAATTCTGGCTCTGCAGCCAGGTAGCCAACTTCCTGAGCTAGCTCAGTGGTTCCCAAACGTGTGTCTCCAGATGTTCTTGGACTTAAACTCCCAAAAGCCTTCCCCACCAGATGTGCTGCCCAGGATTTCTGGGAATTATATTCCAAGAACATCTGGAGACCCAAGGTTGGGCACCACTGCTATATCCCCTTCCTCGTTACATGGCCTGATTTCCTCAATATCTACCTCAGCAACCAGGCATGAAAATTAAGCCTATTATCTACCTTCCAACTACCTGGCACAAAAGAAAGACCATCATTTTGATCTTCCTGGTGTTTCAGACTTCAGTTCTCGTTACCTCTCACCAATAGCCACGTGAGGAACAACCAATGGGAACTGTAGTCCTAAGCATGTGGTGAAGGCGGCAAAGAGGGGAAGGCTGCTGGAGGCCCTCCCCCTTGTAAGAATGGACAAGATTCTACAGCTAGTGAGGTGGGGAACAATCATCTCCTCAGGTTGCAGTCGCTATAAGCTTTTACCACTGTTCATGCTGGAGCAGGCTGATGGGAGATGGAGTCCAAACTCTACCTCGCAGCCTACATTCTCCCATGCAACCCTTGCTGATGGAACATGTTTTTGTGACTCCGTAACTTCTGCAATTACTGTACTCTTACTTTTTTGCTTGCTTGTTTGTTTGTTTGTTTGTGTTTGTTTGTTTGTTTGTTTGTTTGGCCAGGAGTGATGGAGCAACTAAACCTTGTGGGACTAACTTCTCCATACAGTAGGCATGTAGGATTCAGGTGAAAGCAAACATAATTAGGTCAGACTTCAACAAAATCCATTATTTATTCTTCCTCTAGCAGGATCAAAATAAAGTTTTATTTTGAGGGTTTTTTCCCCCCCTCAAAGGAATGAGCGAGTGCCATATTCAAAGAGAGAGAGATCATTGTAGAGATGTTAACAGGACAGAAGATTAAAACATGTGGATTTTGGAATAACATGCAGATTTTTAAGTGATGTCGGATTTATTTATATTTAATCCACTTCCTCTCAATTCCCTATTTAATTCAATTGACTGAGTCTGAACTCAAAAAAGCCAACAGGGGTCATTTAACACTCTTGATGGGTTTTCTCTGTTCCTCATCTCACCAAAATACTGTAGAGTTTGGGACATTGTTAGGACATATTGCCATCTAGTGTCAAGGCAAGGGCTCTACAGAAACAAGTAGCTTCCACTATCTGTCCTCAATATCTGTTTGATGGAACTCTGTGGGTGATTTGTCTTTTGGTGCAGCGCTCCCTCTCCCCTCTTTGGAGTTCATACAAAGGAATTCCAGGGAGATTCAGAAACAGACCAAACCCAAGTTTCATCCAGATGGACAATTCGAGTACCTTCTTACAGCCCTGAGTGAGAACTTCTGATTCAGTGGATCTTGGTGGTGGTTGTGGCATTCCTATGTAAGTTCGGATTCCTGTGTAACTTGCTTTTTTGTTAATGTTTTGATTTATTAAAGATAATGTGGCTATTTTACTTTTGATTCAATTTGGTTTGGTTTGTAGAGTTTGTTTCACATTATGTAAACTACCCCAAGTAGTGATCTCACTAAGTTTGGTGGTGTATAAGCTTTATAAATAAAATAAAGGAATAAATTAATGATGGAATTAATCACCACCATCTCTCACCATTGGCTGTCTTGCCTGAGGCTGATGGGGACTGTTTTCCACCATAATCTAGAGGAGCAAATTGTTTTTCATCCATGATCCACCACAGAGAACTTTCTCAATAACCTTCTCAATTATTTTAAGCCAACTAGAACATTCTTTATGTGGCTCAAATTAAGGCAGCTATTCATCCATCTGAATAAAGTCAAGGTCCACCATGCGAAAACTACCACTCTGTTACAGAAAATACAGTTAAGACTTTCAGACAGAATAAGCAGAAATCTTGAATGTAGCTGATACTTATCAAAGCTGGGCCAAGACATTTTGCTGTTTGTTCATTTGTTTGTTTGTTGTTCATGTCTTTGTTCCTCCCAACTTAGAGAACCAAAGGTGGCTTGCAAAATATTTAAAAGACGAACACTATGGCTGTCAGAATACAGTGGCAGAAATCCTGTTGCATAAGTCCTGTTAGGCAAATGGCATAACATGTAGATGCAAATGGACATAAGTTAAGAAATCTCCATAGGCCTAATATGCACAATATGTTGTGTAACTCAGTATGCAACAGATGTCTATGGAGACTCCTTAATATACAACAGCTCATATCTAAACTGTTTGCATAACTACACAACAAGATTTTAGATTTAATTGCAATGTTAAAAACCAATTCAACATAATATTCATCAAAAATTATTGAACAAATCTCTTTGAAACAATTTTAAAGCAAACTTTAAAAGGCAAAAATTTCCTCCATTAAAAACTCCTTCCTTAGCAGCCAGTCACTTAATAAAAACCTGACTGAAAAGAAAGGTCTTTGCTTGCCAGCCGAAGGACAGCAAGGAGGGGGCTGGGCTGGCTTCCATTGGCAGGGAATTTCAAAGCTTTGGAGGAACCGGGGTGGGACTGAGCCAGAGGACTTCCCTGTACATCTTCAAACATGTGGAGGCTCTTCTAGGGAGACATGATCCCTCAGATAGCCTGGAATCCAAGCTGTTTATGACTTTTATAGGTCAAAGGAAATTAGCCACTAGCCAGTGAAGCCGTTGCAACACAAAACATCAGTTCTCCCTGTAACCAGCTCAGTTAAGTGGTCTAGCTGTAGCATCTGGGTCCCACTGACATATCTGAACCCTCACCAAAGGCAGTCCCATATAGAGCGCATTACAATAATTCAACTGCAATGTGACTAAGGTATACTAGTTGTAACTGGGTAAATATACTCATGGCCACCTGCAAGGTCTGGGTATCAAGAAAGAAGACTAAATCCAGGTGCATGCCCTGAATGTGAACTTGATTTCCAAAAGGAGGTTAATCCTATCTAGCACAAACTGACTCCCTATTTCTCTGATTTGCCTTTCTATTGACAGGCAGTATTTACAATATGTTTACTGACAGCTTGACTTTTCTTTATTTTTTTAATTTTTTTTAAATATAACAAAATAAGCAAAAAAAATCCACATGAAAATTCCACTAAGATGTCAAACAGGAAAAAAGAAATACAAATATAACATACATTTCCAACTCTGTGCTCCCCACCCTTCTTGGTACTAATTTACTTATTTTTTTTTTTACTCTATATATTTGTGGAGCTGTCCCATCTCTCTCCAGAAATATCTCACGGGTATAAACTTTCCCTTTCTCAAACAAATATATTTAAAAATAAATTACCACTAAGATGTCAAACAGGAAAAAAGAAATACAAATATAACATACATTTCCAACTCTGTGCTCCCCACCCTTCTTGGTACTAATTTACTTATTTTTTTTTTTACTCTATATATTTGTGGAGCTGTCCCATCTCTCTCCAGAAATATCTCACGGGTATAACCTTTCCCTTTCTCAAACACATATATTTAAAAATAAATTCCACATTTCTTTGAAATCATTTGTATTTGGATATTCCTATTCTAATCTTAGTTTCACAGGTTAGTTTATCTTTAACAGCCATATTCAACATTCTTGGTGTGCGGGTGCCATGCTAATCTCTGTATCATTCCCATTTTGGTCTATGTGCTGCCAAAACTAGCATGTATCTCTGCCTTGTCGAGATTATGCCTGATTCTGTCCCACCCACGTTTTATTCCTGACACCAAATACCAGTGTGGAACCAAAATAACCTCACCAAATTTGGATGGAGAAGAGAAAGAATTAGGTGTGAATCCCCGAACACTGGCCAACCTTTGCCAGTGACCTGATGCATAGGTTGAATAACAGTTTTGTGTCTTCATATCTGCAGGCACTCACACAGAGAACATAGCTCAGAGGAGCCCTACAGGTAACAGCCATAGTGTCAAACAGGAGCCTCCCAGCTCCACATTCTGAGTTCACCTTTCCAGGAAGGATCTCGATAATCCATTTCTTCCGTCAACACTTGGAGCTGAGAAGGCATCATATGTACTGTATCCCTGTTCTGCCCAGGAATGGAACATTAAAGACTAGCTGTTTGTTATCTAGTATGATGGGATTCAAGGAAGGGATTTGTGCCCACAGCCTGACTGCTGCCTCCTGTAGGCTTGGTGGGGCCTTGCCCTGGTTCAAGCAGACATTCATCACTCTCCTTCCTCACTCATCCAGTACACACAGCTGGCTTTATGAGCCAGAAGGGACAAGGTTCTGGCCCACATGTGGTGGCTCTCCCTTCTCCAAGGATCCTGTCCATATCCTCAATGCACAGGAACTCATAGCTCATCTATTTTCTTGGGACAAGTTGGGGGCAATGTTGCATCTAAAGGACCTGTGTCAATTGCTAGGTCCAGATCAGAGTGGGTCCAAATGTTCTTGTCTGCTCAGTGTTGTGCAAAGTTGTCCCAGCAGGCCACAGAGAGATCTGCCTTCTCCTCCTGTGGGCCATAAGCCCTCAAGATAGTTCTGCTGGATGACTGTGCAAACATGATCATAGCAGAGAAGAATGACTTCTCTGCCACTGCCAGTGGAATGGACCTTTCTGTGGGATCTAGCCCATGTTTGGTCCGACCTGCTCCTGATTTCCTGCCATCATCACTCTAGACTCCATCCCACTCATTTCACCTTCAGCTCCCCAGTAAACCAACAACCTAATTTGGCTCCCCTCTATGGAGGAGAGCAAACCAAAGAGTAATCTGAAACTAGAACCATGTCCAGCATTCCTTGTACTGTATTCTCCTCCCCTTAACACACAAGTATATTAAGCATAAATAAGAACAATAACAGTGTGCCATCAAGTCAATTCCAACTTATGGCAACCCCTTCCAAGTTTTTTTTTACATATGAAATATTCAGAAGTGACTTCCCAGTCCCTTCTTCGGAAGGTGCTCAGTGACTGTACAGCTTACCCAAGGCTACATAGGCTGGTTCTTCTCCTCCAGGAGACACAGTCTGGCTAACATATATGATGGAATCCCTGTGTTTTCCAGGTGGGAAAATGTGGAAGTCACCCTTCTGAAATAACAATATTCACGTTTTACATTCATACTATGTTTCTAGACTGCACTATCAATCCTCCCAATAGCCCTGTAGGGCACACTGCAGACATAAAAATGGGTCTGTGGGGGGGAGAATCTGTTGTTTGCTCAAAGTCCCAGGATTCTGGAGAAAAGCAACTTTAGAACCAGTGGATTTCCTAGTTCCCAGAATGCTCTTTTAACCCCTGCACTTATTCTTGGCCATCTGGATTCAAGTTCGTCTGTTTGCATTAAAACTTATTAAATGTTATGAAAGATTTTGAAATCGTTTCTGATGGTTTGAAACAAGCTGACAGAATAAAATAAACAGGTTAATAACATAAAAACAATAAAACATTTTGTGACTACATAGTTAAGGGTAAATGGTTACAGCTAAGCAGATGAGTGGCAGTTAAAAATGAATAAGAAACAATTCTCCTTTTTTGGGGGGGGAGTGACTTACATGTGTAGGGTATCCTTTCTTCCTTAAATGGCCAATAGTCCATAGGGAGTTTATACTTGCACTCATGGTATCTGCCATAGTCCTTCACATCACATACAGTAGCTCTTTCTATACTTCCAGCATACTTGCATGCACTAGCTCAGGAATTTTCACACCAACCCTGTAAGGCAGCTTAATGTTATTATTTTCCTCCACCCCTCCTAGTTTTATTTCCCCCAAACAAGCCCTGTTTGTAGCCCATGAGTATAAACATAGGATTATAAGAAGTTAGTAGACACACAGCCATTGTTGGAGAGGCATCAGGGGGTGGGGTGGGGATGGGAGCAGAGTGAGCTGGGATGAAGGTCTGGGAATAGCAGTCCTCCAGGGCCGGCCGACCATCTGCCCTGACGGAGCTGGGAGCTGCCACTGCCCACTCCAGCTCTGTCACCACTGGCTTTAACTCCCGGGCTGATCCTTGGGTCACATGCTGGGGAGGGCTCTGTCACTCTCTCAGGCTTGATCCCTCTCAGGCTTCAGTCCGAACAGCTCAGCCATGGCCAAGACAGCTCCGCGCACTGTGCTTATCACGGGCTGCTCCTCTGGCATCGGGCTGCGCATGGCCGTGCAGCTGGCACAGGACCCAAGCAAGCGGTTTCACGGTGAGTCCGGGGCACCCAAAAGGGGATGGGTGGGCTTTTAAGGGGCACAGCTTCCTGCTGGTTGGGTATGCTTCTTCTTGGGTGGCAGGGGGTGCCTCACAGAGGAGCACAGATTCCCCCCACCCCACCCCGGCAAGAGCAATGCTGTGCATTGTCTGTAACATTCAGCCCTACACCTGGCCAGAAAGAACAGAAGAGACAAGGAGAGAGGGTTAATGTGAAAGGGAAAAGGGACTTCGCATGCTTCTTTTCTAGTCGGGTTTTATTCTCAGAGCTCCATTTCAGTCTGGCACTGCCCCTGTGCGTGCCACCACACCCACCTTGCTTCTTCATGGCCAGGGGACTTCATTTGCTCATCTAAGCTGGCACCGCCAATGCCTGGCGTTCCCCCAAGTCTTCCACGCTTTTTGCATTCTAGTTTCGGTCCCCAGTTGCCAGACTTTTCTCTGCTGTTTCCCTCTTTCAGCCCCCAATTCTGCCCCCTCCTTGCCCTGTGATGACTCCCAGCGGTCCAGCGAGGCAAGGGAGACCCTTTGCCCAGCAATTTGGCTCTGTGTGGAATCAGACTTTGTGTCCAAAGGACACTTGTGTAATCAGCTAGCAAACGGGGTTAAGAATGTTACCAAAGCACAGCTCCTCTTCTCCCCCTCCCCCTGCACACCCCACTTCCATTTCAATCCCACCTACTTTGCTATGGGAGGGGGAGCCCAAGCGTGAAGCCGTGTGCCGCTTACATAGGTTAAGTAACTGGATCAGGAGGCAGTGAGTCCAAAGGGCATCAGAGACAGAGCATAAACCTGAGGTCGTTTGATAATGTTTCAGTGGATAATGCACAAAAAATGCTTTGTGCTGGGTGCCACACACGTCATAAATGCACATGCACAGAAACACAAGCACTTAATGTGCAGCATGGGATGCAAACACACACTGGCAAGACCTTTCTAAACCCCACATTGTTTTGTGCATGCACACACGCACACACACATCATGGACAATGCGGGTGCATGCATGCAACCACATGCAGCATACTGTACACAACGTTCAGAACTGCCACGCTTCCTCAGACCAAAGATTCAGCCAGCCCAACTAAGTTGGTCAATTAGTTACCTATGTGAAGCTCACAAAAACAGGAATGCTGGGAAGTTGAATTTCCTCCTGCTGCACATCCCCAGCCACTGGCATTTAAAGGTAGACTGCTCCTACACAGGGAGTTTGAGTTTGGGCAGTAGCCATCAACAGACAAGTTTGTGTGAATCTTTGCAGAGATCCTCTGTCCAGTGACCATCCAAAACTCAGAAAACTTAGCTTTGGAGCTACAGCTCCCAGAATCCTCCAGCCAACAGGGACAATGCCCACACTAGCTGGGACAGTCTGCAAGCTGTAGTCTAAGCAAGTCAGTTCTCCAGCTCTGTTCTGGAAAATGCACACCTGCCACCCCTGATGGAAAGAGTGAATCCTCCACATACACTTAGAAACAGCAGGCCAGCCCCCATGCACCCATTACTGGAGCAGGAAAGGTGCCATAATAAATATGTTCCCTTTAGACTGCCGGGTTAACTGGGAGTATAACATCCAGAATGCCAACGTCTAGTCACAGTATGAAAAAGTAACTTGAGTTTTGTGACAGTCACCACGTACATCACACAATGTATTTTAATGCATGTTTCCTACATCATACAGTCCCTAAGACATGAGGCACCACAGATATGCTCTGCACATACATTCCACGTTTCTCAGCTTGCTTCCTAAGCTGAGAAGCCTTACGAAACGCCCACTCTTCCCAGACTGCAAAGGCAGACAATCACAAAGGAGTCTGCTGTTCTGTGCTCATAATCCTTCTCTTTTCTCTTTATACTCTGCCACCTGAGAATCCATACATTCTATCAGCTTCAGATCTTAGAGATACATATATTTTTGTTGTTGCTGGGTTGATTTGGGGTTTGGGGGGGATGGGGGTGTGCACTGCAATTATGAAACTTTCCTGCTACGAAAATTAATCCAAAAGTATCTTTTCCAAGCTATGATTAAATTAAATTGGGTAGAATGTATTACTTTAGTGTTTCATTTCCTCCTGTTAGCCTGGGGAAGAAAGATTGTGACTGATGGGATATTTGTGGGGTGGATACATTATAAAGGCATTTTCTTGGGGTCAGTGATGTGCATTCATTTAAAGAAAGTTCAATACAGAACGTCTGAGATATTTGAACCTATTATTCTACAGTGGGGTCTTAACTTGAGAACTTAATCCGTATTGGAAGGCGGTTCTCAAGTCAAAAAGTCTGTAGGTCAAGTCTCCATTGACCTACAGTGCATTGAAAACCGATTAATCCCGTAACAGGCCGTTTTTGTTCCATTTTGGTTTTTTTCTGGTCTGTAAGTCAATTCTCAGGCTGCAAATCAAACCTAAATTTTGTGGCCAGAGAAGTCTGTAACTCAAAAAGTCTGCAAGTCAAGCCGTCTGTAAGTCAATGGTCCACTGTACCATCATGACCTTTCTAAACCTAAAAAAAGGAAACAATCAAGGAGTCATGGGGATGTCTAAGATGTTATTCAGATCCAAATTGGATGCAGCCCTTTGCAATTTGAAGTGTGGCTCAGAGACAGCACCAGGAATCTTATTTAATTAACTTTTTTATTTAAAGTATTTTTATCTCGCCTTTCTCCTTAAAAAGGACCAAAGGGGGCAATCTTAGGTAGTAGAGTTCAGGGAGCTATGCATCAAGAGTCATGGGTCTGAACCTGATTGGTAGACCCGTAGAATGAGTGGGACCTCTTACGCCAGCACTTCAGCATACGCCCCATTCATTCAGTGACCCTATGCTCCCTAAAACTAACAACTGGATTAAAAATACTTTTAAAACATATACATTGTTTTCAGAACAGACTGACTAGATGACTTTAGTCAATCCAGTCTTCCTAATTCAATCTCATTACATGTAGTATGGACAAAAACATTCCTTGTATGCTAAGTCTGGCTATTTGCCTATATGGCCTTGTATGTTTTACTCTGATTGGCAGCAGCTATTCAGTTTTGTTGGCAGGTAACCCCTTTTCACATCACTTGCTACCTGATCCTTTCTTTTTTTTTCTTAATGGGACAGGCAGAATATGATCCTCTGAATATTACTGCACCAAATCTCTCATCCACCTCTGGCAGTACAGACATTGCAGAGTAACACTAGTACTTGCAGTCCAATAACATTTGCGAGGTCAGCTTTCACCCACCCCTTATTTTCAGTGGAAGAGCCAAAGATTGGGAGTGGACTTTCTGGATACCAATGTCTACCCTAAAATCAAAGGGTTGGATTAGGAATGCAAAGAACGCTGATACCTACCACAAACTCAAATCACCAACCTTCTGAGGGTGGATAACAATATTGACCTACACTGTAGTGCCATTCTGCAGGTGACAGACCTGGTGTATACCAATGTTCTCAATACCAAAAAACTGCTATTGAAACATTAAATATTTCTGTATTATAGCAGGACTGAGGAACCTTCAGATGATGTTAACTCCAAATCCCATTAGCCCCTGCCACACTTGCCAGTGGTTGTAACAGGACTAATCCTCCATCCATATCTGCAGGACCTCAGCTCCCCCGCCGTGTAGAATAGCACTGTGGTGTGTCTGCCTACTACGTAATATATGTTAAGTGTTATCAAAACATTTCATATGTGGTACATAAACACAATTACTGTATTGTTATTCTCAAAAGAGAAGGAAGGCAAAAAACCACATATGATATTTTTGTAGGACAAACAGATAGATAGATAGATAGATAGATAGATAGATAGATAGATAGATAGATAGATAGATAGATAGATAGATAGATAGATAGATAGATAGATAGACACACAGACAGACACACAGACACACACACAGACACACACACAGACACACACACAGACATACACACACACGTCTGTTAGTACTCTTGGCAACAAGTGTTCCATCTACTGGCAGCTGGGCTTTCCTATCGCCTGCCCCTAAACCTGGTCCTCACCATAGGGATTAATTTGAGAAGGATTTAGCACCATGACCCCAAAGCCGCTTACAATGCATGAATCCTCAATTGCCCTCCTGACCCCTGGCAATGAGCCAACCTGCTCTGTTTTTTAGCCAGCCAATCTAGGTTCTGGGCCACTGGAGCTTTCAGGCAGAGCACTCCACCCTGTGTGGTTCAGTCTCTTTGCAAGTTGGTGGACACCCCCCCACACACACACACACTTTTTCAACATCTGAAACCCCTGCTTTTTCAAGGCAACAGTGATAAGGAAATAATTGTGGTCCTGACTTGCTCAATGATATTATTGCTGCCGCTATTACTTCTACTATTGCAAACATTTTTAAACCAACTTTCCTCCTTATGGATAGCAGAGGGGTTCATGAGAGTAGGATTAAAATTGTTCCACATGTATTCCAGTCCTCTTCTGTATTCAATTTTCACTACCAAAGAAATCCAGAAACACACAAAAGGCTTATGAAAGGCCAGGATTCTATTGCTGTTTGTGTAACTTGGCAGAGCTAATTATTGCTAATTGACATGGCTCTGGGATGCATCTTGCCTAAGCAATCAGATGCTTGACAAGATAGCAGTACATGACCGGGAGTCTCATCAACTAGTCTAAATTAGCTGCAGCAAATTACGCAAACCTCACATAAACACCAATTAGGCTTCTGGCCAAACAATTTAAGTCTGTAGTCCTTAAGAAGGTTTAACTGAGTGGGGGGAGCTATATTCTACTCAATACTTCCATAACAAATAATCCTTTTTCAGGCTGCCAATACAGGACTATGGTCAAGAAATGCAAGGAAACTAGAATGACTAATGGGTATTTAGTCAAGTATTATTTTTAACATATCAATGTCATTTTATTCAATATAAACCTAAAGATGTTAATTTGTGGTGCTAGCCATATACAGTATGCACTTCTGGTGTTTTTTCCATTGTCTTACTATGCTGAAGCTCCATTTGACTCTGATGCTTCTCACTTTAATAAAATGTGTGGCTAGGAATCAGTGCCTTTTCTTCTTTCCAGTCATTGCCACCATGCGTGACTTGCGCAAGAAAGACAAGCTGGAAGCCGCTGCAGGGGACACACTCAACAAGACGCTCACCATCCAGCGCCTTGATGTCTGCAGCGATGAGTCTGTGACGGAGTGCATGAACAACCTTCCTGGGAAACAGCTGGATGTACTAGGTAGGAGAACACGCTTCACAGCCAGAGAATTAGTTGCTTACACCTGAAGGCATACTCTGGCATGGAGGGTGGGGACATGAGAAGCAGAAAAATGAATTTAGAAATTGATCTATTCTTTTGTTTGCTATGGAAATGGCCTCCCACAGCAATGATTGTGTACACTATTAACATATGTTATCTATAAAGCTCTATACAACTGTCTGGAAGTGGTCCCAACACAGTCCTGCAGCAGACTTTCTCTTTATCCACAGGAATAATAGTAAACCATTGGTTGCCATCAAGTCAGTTCTGACTTAACGGCAATCCTTTCCGTGGGGTGGGGAATACTCAAGGTGGTTTCCCATTCCCTTCTTCTGGGGTACCCAGGGACTGTGCTGCTTGCCCAAGGCCACACAGGCTGGCTCTTCCCTCCCAAGAGGTACAGTGGGGAATCCACCTCCCAATCAAGATATGTAATTCACACAAGGCGACATCTTTTGTATCCTTGCTTGATACACTATATTGACTACAAGTGTGGAAGACAAGCGTACTCCAGCAACTTTAAAACATTTGGATGTTCTTGTCACAGTGTTCAGGCTTTATAGCGAAGTCAATGACATTGCCTAATCATAACTAGGGCCTGGCGTGCTCTGGTCCATGGGATCATGAAGAGTCAGACACAACTAAACAACAACAACAAAACATACCTAAACACACAAGCACTTAAAGCAAATGGAACCAAATAGTCCCTTCCATCCAAATTAACCCATGTAAAGCAGACCACAATTCAAGATGAAAAAAGGACGTGTCACTCCAACATGTCACACAGGAGTGGACAACTGGTGTCACACCAAGAAGGAGATTGATCAGAACAGCAGAGTCTTTGCTCAGACCTTCTCCCCATGCCATGTCCACCCCTTCACCAGTGGGGCTGAAGCAGTGCACTGGTTTAGGACCCAGGAGCATTATTTTCAGGTGAAATTAAATGGTGGCCACGTAGGACCAAGTTGCCCTTATGATGGCACACAAAGACCTTTCTCTTCAGTGAAGCTTTTGTAGTCGGGCTACAGAGAGTTTATTAACAGAAGCAACTGTTGTTTTTTACTTCTTTAAAACTCTTTTTGTTTGCAGTGCTTCCACATCATTGCTGGTTTTGTGTTTAAATTGTTTTAAGCTGAGCAGTAGTTTTATTATTATTATTATTATTATTATTATTATTATTATTATTATTATTATTATTATTATTATTATTATTATTATTATTATTATTATA